GTTAATCTAGTTTGGAATCTCGTAAACGATTATATTAAAAAAGAAGGGTCTATCATTGTCGCGACTATCTCGTGTAAAGATGAAATTGATAACCAGGAGATAGTTTCTCTTGCAAAGATGGTGGATCCGTCAGGGCTTCGTACGCTTGGTGTTCTTACCAAGCCTGACATGATTGAGCAAAATACCCACGAACCTTGGTTAAAAATCATGAAAGGCGAAGCCCATAAACTTTCATTAGGATATTATGTCATTAAAAATCCAAACAAAAAACGGTTAATGGAAAACATCACTTTCGAGGAAGCTAGAGAAGAAGAAATCGCTGTTGGTATTTTAATATTATTTCTAACAACGTTAATATAATCTAAAATTTACTATTAACTAACTTTAATAATAGTTCTTCGAAAATGAAACGCCATGGAGAGATAATTATGAAATTAACGAACGCATTGGCGTCAAGAAATTACAATCGAAACTTTCAGATCTCTTAATTAAAGCTATCATGAATGATCTCCCGATAATCAATAAAGAGATCCAAGAAAAGCTATCGAAAGTATGTGTTTTTTGTTATTCTTTAGAATCATATTTTGTTAAGATTTCATTGACTTGTCATATTAGGTGCGAGAGGAATTGGAGAATATTCCAGAGCCACTTGGCGAAAACTCGAAAATGGAACTATATTCTATGATTAAAAAATTTTCTGAAAAAATAAAAGATGAAGTAGCATGTTCGAGTGAGAGCACCGAATTTTTTAGTTATATTGTTAACGAGTTCAAAGAATTCAAGCGAAAGCTCTGTTCCACACGAACAATTTTCCATGCTTGTAAGAAAAATTCGAAGGAAACGGTCAAGTTTGATATGATGGAAGAGTTGGTTAATGATCAAGAACAAGCTACACACATCACCGAAGCCCAAGTCACCGATCAGATTAATAATGCACGAGGTAAATTACTCCCAGGCATAATCCCACATTCAGTAGTGACAAAATTGATCCGAAATGACCAGAACAAATGGAAAAGTGCATCTCAAAGATGCTTAGATCAAGTACATGGGATCACGACAGATTTATTAAAACGGACAGTAGATGAAAACTTTTCTAGATTCCCGGTCTTGCATGTGGAAACAATGTATGTTACCTAAAATTTGATAATTCTTATTTGCTTATGCTAAACATCATTTTTCCTTTAAGGATCCACGCGAAAAAATTGCTCGATAACTGCAAGAAAGAAACAACAAAATATATTGAATTCATGTATGAACAAGAACGAGATAATTATCCATTCACTTTGGACGAATCAACAATGCTAATTAGAAAAGCGAAATGTCTTCTGAAACTTAACGAAACTGTAGAACACGAAGGGAAGGAACCTAAAGACAGCTTGGAAGTTATGGCCTCTGTTATGGCATATCTTAAAGTATCACTTAGCCGGTATGCGGATAATGTTTCCATGGTTATTAATCGCACTCTTGTTGAAAAATTTGCAAATATAATTGAAGAAAATTTGGTCGAAATATTCATTTCCAATGGCGATAATTGTGACGTCAGCGAGCTACTTTTAGAGGATAAGACCATTCATCGTCGTAGAGAAGAGCTTCGTATAGAGGAAAATAATATGAAAGAAATGATCGATAGTCTTGTTAGGTTTGGTATAAAGTAATGTCACGTGGATGCGCAAGGATGTGTTTTTAAAATGTATATAATCAAAGAAAGACTTTATCGTAATACCTAACATGTTCCTAGAAATAAATTTTATTACAAAAAAAAAAAAATTCATTATGCATACACAATGTGAAAATTCCAAGCTTTATAAGTACAAAGAATATGTTTGTGTTTCAAGGATTAATTTCTTTAATTTCTCATGTTCATCGCATTTTTTCATAGTCGCAAGGTTTTGTAATACGTGATCCTTAGAATTTGGTTCAGCAGCACAACTAGATAATTACTTTTTATGAAAGTACTACGCATTCACATTTTATACAGTATCTTTAAACAAGTCTTCAGATATCAATCAATCTTCGGAGTCAAGTAATTCAATGAATTCCTTGTGTAATATTTTTTTCCTTTTTCTGCCATTCTCCAAATCCGGTTTTGGATTTCCATGTCTACGTTCAGTTTCTGCCAATTTTTCTCTAGAATCGACTTTCTGCACTTGTCTTCTCTTCAATGTATCGAAAAAATCATGTTGAGAAATAATTTGTAAATCATCATTACGACAATCAACCTCAGTCCGGGATGTTGTAGGTAATACCATAGGAGACAAAAATTTGCGATTCTCCATGACGGTAACATCCTTGATTCGATGTTTCACTTTGTTCAAAATCCTCTCATTCTCAACTCGATGCCCGCGCTCATTTCCATTCAACCCGACTTTTTTCTCTTCTTCATTATTGGTAATATGCGTACTCGAACTAACATACTTTACAGCTCTAAACTTTGACTTGTAGAAATTCTCCTCCTGAGATTTTTCGACTCGAATTAGTCCTCTACTGGTTAGCCACTGAAGAGGTCTATAATGAACATGCAATACCGCAAGCGGTTGATGTTTATCTATAATTTCTAAATGAGAATTGTCTCTTATAATTTCACACCCAGTCTTTCGATTTCTCTTTATTTGATACATCAGTCCGTCATTTAAATTGTATTCTCGAGTGTTCATGGTGATTTTGTTTTTCAGTATGCTTTCAGGATTGCACCAAAGATTCTCTCTAATTGTTTTCCTGGATTTAAAAAAGTAAGCCGAAACCGCACCATATCCTGGCCCAAATGGAAGAGGAACTGAGGATTGTAAGGGCACACTTTCCTTTTCTTGGCATGCGTGCGATTTATTTGCTGTCAAAGAATGTCTATAAAATCTGGACGCACATAGCAACAATAGTTACAGAATTTAAAGATCTTACCTAGGCAAGAGGCACTTTGTAAAATGTAGGAATCAAAATCGGAAAAGTTCTTATATTCAATTCCTCCAAATTCAAAGTTAAAATAATTTAGTTCATCTAGATCTTTATTCCAAAATCCCTCCTTGATTCTAGGTATGGGTTCTACAAGTTCACAATAAGTACTATCGGAAATATTATCGATGTATGTCTCGGCACGGATTGGAAAAACAGGAGTCGCATTTGATGCTGAAATTTTGATTGCAAAATGAGTTCTCATGAGCGGGATTGATGCATAGGTTACGAATTCACTATTTGGAATATATGAAAATATTTATGTAGTTCACAGTTGATTGATTGTAGATAACGAAATCAATCGCGTACTTGCACACATTTTCCTTGATTTCTTCTCTAAAGATGAATGATGGTCCGGTTGGAAGAAACTAATAAAGATCGAATATAAATTTTTTCCTAAAGAGAAATATATCTGCAAAAGGCGGTATTCCTGTTAAAATTTTAAAGACTTACGCTGTGTTGTTTGATAGGAACTTGGCACTCCTGCAAAGGTTTTCCATCCACCAAGATTTCCAAGCTATAACCATCAAGGCGCATAATAATTGTATGTTTACTCTATAATTGACTTTCAAAATGAGAGATGTAATCTTATAATTGAGAGAAAATGAAATCCAAATAAATAACATTCATTATATGATGGCGCTTTTCTTTACGTCACCTTCACTTTTATTCTTACGTAGAGATGGAATACAATATACAGTATATTCAAAAGTTTGCTGAGATATTTAATATTTCATCATCTAATTCGTGTGTTAGCTATTATCAATGACGGTTATCAAGGTTCTCCTTTCTGTTGTCTACATAATATTCGAGAAACAAAGAGTTTCTTTTGTCACTAGCATACTTTGAAACATATAGTAGCATAGTGACATACAGTCATCATGCAATAGTATTTGATTTTTGATTTTAAAAAACGAAAAATCAAAAACAATAGTTGAATTTATTTTCCAATAAAAATATTACCTGCATTAAAAAAAAGAATTAAACTTGCAGGATTAGATAAATAAGTATGTGCAGTTTCTGATAAAAAAGTTATAAAAAAATTATTTATCTATTATACTCTTAATTATTGTCCAATAATATAATAAAAAAAACATCAGAACTTATATATATATTTATATATGGATAATTATTTTTGAAGGTGACAAAAATGTTAGATATGATTTTTTTGGATCCATCTTTTAAATACTATATATATAATATAAATTTTAGGATCACCCCAGAAAATTTCTGGTCCACCTTCAAAAATAATTACCCATATATATATATTGCAGGTAAACATTATTTCTTTATTTTGTTTATATATAACAAGGTATACATCATGAAAAAAACAACATTTTTCATATGTTAATACAATGAGTTAAATGTTAGCTTGCCTATAGTAACTATATAACTAATATTGAAAAGAAATTTTAAAACAATATATCTTACCATGTGATATCAAGCAGTTATAAATATTTATTTGGTATTAAGAAAAATAGTACTTGGAAGTAGGGTTTTAAAAAGTATTGAACTGGTATTGAAATGATATCAATTTATAATAAATTTAATATATAAATTATAACCTATTTATATGATTTTATAGTAAATTTAAATATCAAAGTAGTATTAAAATAGTATCATTAGAAGCCCTACTTGAAAAAAATTATATTGGATTTTAAATGCATTTGGGAGAATTATAATTACATTAAATAAAAGAGTTGATAATTATTATAGATGGATTAATGATAATTTTGTTTTGAATATAAGCTTTCTATAAAAGCAGTATAATTTTTTTCTAATCTGATTAAATTGGTCATGCTTAATAGTTTGCTTGAGTTCTACTTGATATCAGTGAAAAGTGAAATATTAACAGTGTTATATTATAGTTTCCAAATTAAATTATATAATTGAACTAAGAATTCTATTGATACCTTAATCCAACTAGTAATATCTGTTATAGAAAAAATTATGTCAATCATATCATATGACAGTTTTACTATTTGTCATATGTGAAAAATTAATCTGAGATTGTTGTTTGAATAGAGGATTTGATTAATATTGTTTATGATCTGACTAGTCTTTTTTGAAATTTCAGGACACTTAAAAATATTTTGAATGTCCTCAGTATAGAATTTATATTTTGAACAATACCTATTTGAATATTAATCAGAATAATATTAATGAAATATTTGATAAATTGATAGAGTTCCTGAAAAGATTTTAATTCTAAACACTATTAGATTACTATAATTGTTATTATATAGTTTTTTAATGTTTTTATTAAATTTATTGATGATTTTTAAGCTATGTGGAGTGTGATGCTATTCAAAAATTTGAAAAACTGAGGAGCTTTCATAAATTATATAATTTCTAATGATACTGAAAATTTTTTGTACTATCTGACACAACTGCCTAAGTATATATTGTTGATCAGAGGATTTTCTAAAAAATATAGTAAAAGATTGTTCCATTGAATTGTTTTATCTATATACAGTTTAGATTTTGGCTTGATATATATAACTTCTATCGATTTTTGTTTTACAACTTGGTTTATTTTCTAAATTAAGAAAGAAAAATTTATTTTGATTATTCTTTTAGGATGAACTAATATTGATTAAAGAATTTTTTTATTGTTTCTGACTTCAATAGTATTGCACTAAAGACTTTATTAAATAATATTAAATATTGTTAATAAAATATTTCCAGGAGCCAAACAGTTATTATTAAGTTCTACTTTGCATTCATTAATGATCAAGTAATTTTTATAGAATTGGATATAATAGTGTTGATAAAAATCCACTTCTTGAAGTGTTGCTCAAGAAGAAAGGTTATTGTTAATATTGATTGTTTGTATAAAAAATCCACTCAATCACTCCAGAACAGACAATTTATATATATATACCAACTAATTGATACTAAATTTAAGATTTTGTTAAACTGGAATCTTATTAAACTGATACTTTCAAATTCAAACAAAGGATGAATCCACAATGGTATAGTGAACTCAGAGAAAGAATTACAGATAACAAAGGACCTAAGCTCAATAATAACTAAATATCAAAGCCATGAAAATAAAATAGTACAAGTTGGTTTAGTGAGATTTCTTTAAACAAAAGAATCAAGAAATGATATGTATTTAAAGATAAACAAAACAAAATACAACAGGGAAAAATACAAACAAAAAATGATCTAGTGGACAGAATATCTACATTTTTTTGTTACAGTTGTATAGTATCCAGACTGGAACAAACTATTCTTAAAGCCAATATTGAATCTATCTATAATTCAAACAGCTTCCAAACAAATCCAACAATAGAAGTCTTAAGTAAAATTAAAGTAGAAAAAAAGAATATTCTGAGCTGTGACTTTTTAAATAGGACACATGGCAATAACAGAACCCAAGAAATAAAAATTTTCTGCAACTCTTATATACTTGAAAAATAAGTACTGTAATGGAATAATTAATTCTATTATATTATTTAATTATTATTATTATTTTATTATTATTATTTTAACTTCTTTTGATATTATTTTAGTATTATTTTATGAATTTATTCTTGAAATTATTATTTATAG